TAAACCATATACTAATAATGCTTTTAGTTGTTTAATATTTACATAATTTACAAATTGATGTTGTATTGTCTTTTTCAATCTTGATATTGTTCATCTTACTGCTGGATATGAGCCATGTCTTTGTCACCAGTCCTGAGCAAACTTTGCAGTAGTCTTGTGTTTCCTCCCTATGTGAGGCTGGAACAGTTTACTTATAGTGTTGAAGCCTTTGGGGTGCTCTCTGTAGTCGTCTTCCTCTGTCCTCTCCCTAGCCTGCTGCAGTCCTCCCAGAAGTGCTCTGACCTCAGCTGACACATCTTCACCCAGGTAGTGAAAGGCCTTCTTTCCAGCATTATCTCTCTCATTAACTCTGGCTCCAAACCTCTGCACAAGCAGAACCATCACCTGAGTGTGGCCGTGCATGGCTGCGATGTGTAAAGGAGTGTATCCTCCATGTGATTTGCTGTTGACGTTAATGTAAGTGCCTCTCTTCCTGGAGATCTTCATGAGCTTGTGTATCATCTCGCTGTTGCCGTCCTTGGCGGCCCAGTGCAGTGCTGTGAAACCTGACATGAAGTCTTGTTTCTGTGCTAACCGTGTGTCCTGCAGCAGCAGAGCATGGATCTGCCCCCACAGTCCAGCAGCACACTTCACCAACCACTCATGAGCTAATGGCTCCAGAGGCACCGACTCAGTGTCCTTAGCCTCTTCTGATTGTCTCATCTTGTTTTGGGGCCTCACTTGGGGAAATCCTGGAGGGTGCATGTCCTCTGTTTGTCTGGTTTTCTGGACTTGCGGTTCTCTCACTGCATCCTTCTTGTATGCTTGGAAGTTAGAATGTAGAGCTACTGACGGTGCAGAAGCCTCAGTAACTGATGTGATTGTTTTGTCTGAAGATTGAAGCCCATGCACTTGGGAATGTGATCTATCTACTGCTGGTGCACGGTCTCTCTGTGGGGATTTCACTGCTATCACAGCAAATACAGCTCCAGATTTCCTTGCTTTGCTCTCATGATCTCCGGAGATATTTAAAACTTTGACAGTGGTCGCGTCAACACTGCTTACACTCCTGGATAACGGTATTCTCTTCCGTACACTCCCTGCAGGCACATGCTTGCCATCACCACCATAATGATAATTGCAATTCGTGTTAAGTGGACAGTCTATGTTGTTGTTTTCAATGTCTGAATAAATCTTCCTGGCTGCCTCGGCTCGATGAGGAGATGTGCAGCCAGAGAAACTGAGGTCCATCTGAGGTTCGGGCGGTGCATCGTGCTCTTTAACAAAGTCCTGGTACCTTTTCTTCACGACCACAAACTTTACCTCGTCGATCTGTCTGACCACAGCGACGCTGTTCACCAGCCGCTTGAAAAGATCTCTATTGTGCTGCTTCTCCGCGGGATCACTGCAGTTGATTTGGCTCCTGAAATAGTTCACCAGCTCCGAGTTCTTCACCTTCCCTCCGTGTTCCAGTAAAAAGGACAGGACGGACTCCTGGGTCAGAGCCATTTTGTCCAGGGGAAGAAAATATGACAAGCTGCGGCAGACAGTTCACATAAAGCCCGAGGGATAATCTCCTCTCTATCCGCTCCCCCTCCTCCTCCTCCTCCTCCTCCTCCTCCTCCTCCTCTGTCTCCTCTGTCCTCCACCAACCTGCTGCTGCTTCCGGCGCCTCCACATTCTCTCCCGGTTTTCATCACGACCCTCCAACACTTTAAAAGTTACTCTGTCATGAGTCGCGTTGCTTGGAGACAGTTTTAGTAAAAGTTCCTTTGACCTTGATCCGTCTGGAAATGTAACGTGTGATTCTCTAACTTCCACACTGACGCTCATCGTGTGTTCGTGTGGCGTCAGAACAATCTGAACTTTTACTTCCCGATTCTCGGAACAACTCGGGAAAGTTGGCAAAAAATGTTGGAACACGAGTTACTAACGTCAGCGGTTATAAATCAGTCATCGCCCCAATTTTTGAGTTTATTACATCGAAGAAAGTAATAGGACTGTAATACTATTTGATAATCTATTTAAGATGAATAGGCCTACTGTGAGGATTATAATTCATTCCATTTTGTAAAAATCGTTTTCGATTTATCTTCTATCGTCTCTTCTCTTTGTAATGCTTTCTGTAATTCATATATTTCGATTTTCATCTACCTATATGTAGAGAGCACGTGTCTGCTCTTTTGTAAATTTGCATTGCTTTGAATACAAGGCAAAAAACTCTTATTGTGACTGAAGACACATCCACTTCTGTTTATACAGTTATTTTTTAACGTAGTTGTGTTCATCATTTTTAAGGTCTTGACCCTCTTTGTAAAGTGCCTTGAGATAATGAATATTATGATTTGGTGCTATACAAATACAATTGAATTGAAATAGTTATTAACTTTAGTGAGTAGTTATTTAATTACCATATTTTTGTACTGCTGTAACACGGTACATGTCTCCCCATTGGGACCAATAAGGGGGGGGGGGGGGGCAGAGCTTTAGAAATAAAAGTTAAGAGGAGCAGGTCTGTAGCTTCCTTTATATTGCATTCCTTCATTTTACCTAATTCTAGTTGTTCATATTTTAATGGGTGGTCTTGCATAAATGTTAGTGTTTTATCCTTTTATTAATTCTTAAATGACTGTGTTTGGACTAAAATCTTGATGTATTATATTTGTGAAGCAATATATTTACTATTTATTATTATTATTACTATTATTAGTATTGTTTCCGTGATCAACTCACTTTCCATCAAAGCTTACACTGAACTATTTAAGTTCAGAATAAAAAACAACAAAAACACACAGTGAGGAGTCTGGAGCTGTTGCAACATCGCCCCCTAGCATCGAGGGGGTGTTTCCTCCGAGTGGCCATATTGAGAGGAGTGTGTGATGTGGAGAGCAGTCCTGGCTGAAGAAGTCGTTCCTGCACACAGCCACTTGTGACGATGGCGGCCAGTGAGATGGATGCGTTCGCGGTAAGTGCGATGATTCACGATCCGGGGCTGTTTGTGTAGGAGTGGGTGTCAAACCCCGCTGGCCTGGAGGATGCAGGTGCATGTATAGAGTCTAGATTGGGGTGGCGGTGATGAGAGATGTGTCGGAGGATGCAGCGGGATCGCTGCGGTGGTGGCGGCGAGGAGGAGGAGGCTCGTTATGTCTAATGAATGAGATGAAGGCTGAGGAGGATTCAGCAGTAGCGATGCGTCGTGCGACCATTTTGACGGAACTGTTGCTTTGCAGCGTGAGGCAGCACAAAGCCTGAGCATCGACACTCACTGTCAGCGTGTGACAGGTGTGTGCTGACCAATGCACAGGTCGGAACCAAGGGCCAGTGAATGAGAGCAGGGACAGTAGGCAGCAAGAGAGCGAGTTAAGAGGATCGACATAAGTAGCAGTCAGGTGAGGGCTGTTCCAGCTCCTCAACACATTGCTCAGCGACTATCTCACCGTGCATCAGCCAGACATGCAATTCGTGCCAACGTGTTCATTAGGAATGTCGTCATATCTGACGTGTGTGCGTGTGACATGTCAGTGTTGTGTTTACAGGCTGAGCTGCAAATGATGGGAGAGTTTGTTAAAGTGGTTAAGGGGGGTGATGAGGGTACCAGCCAGCAGCTTGGATATCCTCCCACCCTGAGAAATAACATCACATAAAGAGCTCTTTGTGTGTTTGTGTGTGTGTTTGTGTGTGTGTGTGTTGAAGTGAACGCATTCTAGTCCTCTTGTTGAGCCTTTTGCAAGATGCCAGCATCCTAGGGTGTTTTTGGTATGTGAAGGATGAACCGCCCCGGCTTGGATCTAGATAGCGTTAAATATAGATGCAATTCTATAGTGTCAGCATTTTAACAAAGTTCCCCTCCAGACATCTGTCACATCTAAACCTTGCACGACTTTACTGTATTGATAGTATATAATAGATTTTTAACTAATAGAAAGTATATATCACCCTACTTCTCTTAAAAAAAAAGAAGTAACATTTCTGTGTACTTGAAATGTCAAGTGTTCATGTCACAAAATCATCTCAGAAATATGCATGTTAAAAGTTTCAGGTTGCACAGGGAAACTTTCCATCTTTAGTCAGCCAATGTGAAAACCGGCTTTTAGTATGAAACTACACGATAAAGGGCAAACACCAAAGTGAAGTTGCAATGTGAGAAAACCATTTTTAAGTGGAGATGGACTTTAATGAATATGGAGATTTGTCATTTTTACCCTGTCGCAGAACAAGTAGGGATAATTCAATTGTTAATTGACTCTAGAAAAATAAAACATGATCTCTCTAATTAACTTTGAATAAAATCTTTTATAATATGAGAATATTCTCTTACACTGATGCCTGTTAATATAGTTTATTAGATATAGATAATCCAGATGATTATTTGGATTAAATTTTTTTGCAAATTTTTTGAATCTTTACAGAACACATTTGGTTTGTGATATTTGGACAGAAATGTTTAATAGGACGGATTATTTAGTGTTTTAACATGAAGACGTGACCTCATTTGAAAAGAATGCCTTTAAGCCTGAGAGTGTAATGTGGGCATAAATCCAGCAGAAGGATTTCATTAACCTCACCATCTTATTGTTTTGTCATCATTTCCTGAGGTATTTCTGGTTTGAGGCTAAAATAATGAAATATTGATGATAATGTATTCTTTGTCCTGTCTGTTTCCAAATACCTCAGAATGAAGAAAAGCGAAACCTGGAGCTCGGAGGCCATGTGGGCTTTGACCGTCTTCCAGATCAGCTGGTCAGCAAATCAGTCGCTCAGGGGTTTTGCTTCAACATCCTCTGTGTAGGTGCGTTTAAGAGTCAGGGGACTTTCGTGTTCCAAAGTTAATGCTTTGGACATGACATGCATTCATTGTGATTATTGCACAAACATATTGCATGTTCTTCTCTGTATCTTGGCGTGTCATTATTTTCTTCTCCTTAGGCGAGACAGGGATAGGCAAGTCAACGCTGATGAACACTCTTTTCAATACGACATTCGAAAACGAGGAAGCCAGCCACTATGAGAGTGATGTACATCTACGCCCACAGACCTACGATCTGCAGGAGAGTAATGTCAACCTCAAGCTGACCATTGTGCACACTGTCGGGTTTGGAGACCAGATCAACAAGGAGGAAAGGTACTAATTCTTCTAGATGTTTGTTTATCAATTTGTTAGGGTGTCCATTCTGATAATTATGAAAGTGAACCCTGAATGAGAATTCAGAAAAATCTGAGAAAACTCAGACCTAACTTCAGAAGTTTTTTTTGCTTCTCAGCTTCAGTTATTAATAATTTCCACCTCTTGCTCTGGAAGTTCAGCCAACACACTGACACAGTATGAAACTGAGAGATAGATCTGCATGGCTGTTGGCATGTGAATTTGGAGGCGAAGAAAAGGGAATGACTGGTAGAACGAATTCAATCTCAATAGGCATTTTGAGTGCTCCAACAGCAGGGAGTATAAAAGACTGTAGGATTCTTGGCTGTGAGATTTTAGTGTGTGAATTTGTAACCAGGATACTTACATTCCTTTTAAACAACCAAACCCTATTTAAAGTTTAATGTCCATAAAAGTAAGGATGAAATAACAATGCTTAATTTCTTCTCTTTGTAGCTATAAACCGATTCTTGAGTATATTGACACCCAGTTTGAAAAGTATCTGGAGGAAGAGCTGAAAATAAAGCGTTCCCTGTGCAACTACAACGACACAAGAATCCACATTTGCCTGTATTTCATCGCTCCCAACGGCCACTCCCTGAAGTCTCTGGATCTCGTCACAATGAAGAAACTGGACAGCAAGGTCACCACAGAATCCTGCACTGTGTGTTTCAAGAGTACGTTTTTCCTCATTTTCTACTCTGTTACTCATATCATGTTTCTCCATGCAGGTGAACATCATCCCTGTCATTGCAAAGGCTGACACAGTTTCCAGGAGTGAACTGGATAAATTGAAGATCAAGATAATGAGCGAGCTGGTCAGCAACGGAGTTCAGATTTATCAGTTCCCCACAGAGGATGAGGCCGTTGCAGAGATCAACTCCTCCATGAACGTAAGTCCAAGAATTACAACCACATATACATAATGCAAAACATAGTATATTTTATATTATATTTATATGTTGTACATGGCAGTAGGAATACTGTTTTTGGTCACATTAGGAGACAGATTACAAGTTAATATTCATTCTCACTTCCCCCCACCACTGTACTATTTTTTGCTTCTTCCTATTTTAACATCCGCCATAGAGGTTATGTTGTCATCTGTGTTTGTTTGTTCCTTAGTAGGATTACACAAAAACGACTGCACGTATTACAACAAAAATTGGAATTGTGCGGTATGGGTCAGGAAAGAACCCCCAGAGAATAATTATTGGATCCTGTGTGTCTGCAATGTGGTGCAGAGCCAAATAATAATCTAGATCTAGTGAATTTAAATGTGGCTTCACAAGTAGACTGCTGGGCCTTGGCAGAGGAATGCACTCTGCTTCTGAATCACTGCCCACATATCTGGATCAGTGTTTTTTCAGCATTCCACAAAGAGAAATAATATAATATAGGTGTAGTAATATAGTAGAACTAGAATGGCACTTAGTTGACCCCTCCACCAAAATTGATCCTTTTTATACCTTTTAACTAACAAATGAAAACATAACCTCCTCGGCGCAGGTTTTATTGTGTCCGTCACATTATCATGAACATCATTTAATGATTGTTACAGCAAAGTTGGAGATTTTGTAGCACGATAAAAGCCAAACTTTGAATCCATACATGTTGTAATAGAAAAAATAGATCTTGAATATGAAAGAAGGTCTACAATGTTAACCACACCGTGTGATTGCTTTATGTTTCAGACACATCTTCCCTTTGCTATGGTTGGAAGTGTAGAAGACGTTAAAGTAGGAAATAAGATGGTGAAAGCGAGACTGTACCCCTGGGGAATAGTACAGGGTGAGTCCACTGAGTTGATTTGACAAGCATCATTAAATTCTCTCAGACGGTAGAGCTAATTAGTCCGAAGCCTGCTGCTGAACTATTATTAGTTTTCCAGATAAGATTTAAATATAATTGTCCTGATTCTTGTTGTTACAAGTGCAGTAAACTCAGAGTTGACAATTAAGATTTTCAGGAAAAGCAAAAGGTTAAATAAACAAGCCTTTTCTTTTCCAGTGGAGAATGAAAACCACTGTGATTTTGTGAAGCTGAGGGAGATGCTGCTGCGTGTGAACATGGAGGATCTCCGTGATCAAACGCATGCTCGGCACTATGAACTCTACCGTCGCTGCAAGCTGGAAGAGATGGGCTTCAAGGACACAGGGCCTGACAGCCAGTCCTTCAGGTGAATTTAGAGATAAATGCTGTTGAAATGCATTTGGGCAATTTACCTCAGTGGAGAGGCCACAACCGCTGCTGTGTTTTGATGTTCAAACTGTGCTGATAGATGAATATTTTTAAAAAGCACATTGAAATCCATGTTTATGTAACTTGGTGAAATGTAAATGAATTCATTCAGATTAGATTCATTCCTGTAGTTTAACTTTGGTCACTCACATTCATGTCCTGATTGACCATATCTGTGTCCACAGAGAAATGAAGACAACAAATGTACCTTTATTTTATGTACAAATGCAGAACTATGTGCGTGGGAAATAGAGATGAAATGGTGTGAAAATGTTCTTTCACGATTGACCAAAATAATCAGTATTATTGCGATCATCACAGTACTGATATGTGCTGAAAATGTTTTTTAAAAGTACTGATACACAGACTAAAGTAATTTTCACCAAGTTATCTTATTTATTATAAACAATAATAATGATATTTTCATGATTCATTTGAGTGGAGGAGACAAGGTTGACAACATAAAGTGGAGACATGGACCACAAACTTCAGAGACAGAACACATTTTTGCCCAAAATATGCTTCAGATTGAATTTATTTGTATCCTTTCAATCATCAGCCTTCAGGAGACATACGAAGGAAAGAGGAAGGAGTTCATTGTGGAGCTGCAGCGCAAAGAGGAAGAAATGAGGCAGATGTTTGTCAACAAAGTGAAGGAGACAGAAGCAGAGCTGAAAGAAAAGGAAAAAGAGGTGAGACTGACATCATGAAATAAAATTGATGAAAACCTACCACAACTGGTTTGTCTCACATTGTGCACTGTCCAATCATTATCATCATCATCATCATCTCTAGCTTCATGAGAGGTTCGAGCAGCTCAAGCGGATGCACCAGGATGAAAAGAAGAATCTGGAAGAGAAAAGACGGGAACTAGAAGAAGAGATGAACGCCTTCAACAGAAGAAAGGTTGCAGCTGAGACACTGATGGGACAGGCACTGCAGGGCTGCTCACAACAGCCATTCAAGAAGGACAAGGACAAGAAGAAGTAAGTCTGCTTTTCTGTATGTGTTTGATTTGCATTGCTTTATGGATTGAAAAGCAAGCGTTACTACTGCTAAGAAATTGAATCACGATGATCTCAAGCAGGTCAAGGATAACCGGTTATTTGTCGCACAAACATTATATTCATATAATCTTTAAGTCAGTCTGAACAGAGGAGGCAGGTGTACATTGTGATCAATGAAATATCATTATCTTCCCAGGAGCCATGTTGGCTCAGAAACTGATACAGGCACAGATTCAGACTGACGCTGTGTGCCCAGACACAGTAAGAAGGCTCACAGCTTGCATGACACAGCCTGATGCTTACGTCTCTGCAGGCTGACCTGGCAGACTGTATCTCAGGCAGGGGCACTTCTGTTTACGTTTAACTGGTCACACTGATGCTCACGCAGATCATGCTCAGACATCTAGAATCATAGTCATTTCTGCAGGTGGAGACATTAAATATCAGGATCAGTTTAGTTACATAGACCCAAATATACACAAACACAGAGATGTCATAATGGTTATTAAGTATTATAAAATGAGAAGGAATGAAAGCCTGCTTGAGTTTTCACTTGCTTCAACAGCCGTTACACAGTAAGTGAAAATATGAATGCAGCCAGTGTAATGGCACACTGAGCTCAAGATGTAATTTCAACTCTGTGCCTATGTCTACTTCTCAAATTCTGCAGCCAGTGATCCTTTACCTACAATATAGTCTTATAACCAGAAGTTAAGTATTACTTGAGAATCAGAATCAGAATCAGAATTCTTTTATTTGCCAGGTATGTTTGCACATACAGGAAATTGCCTTGGTGTCATAGATATGTATTTGATAATGCAAGTGTCAAAAACCTTTAAACCCACTGCTGCCTTATTTCATTCTGAATGTACATCTAGATTTAGATATTAGGTCTTTTAAACAATTAATCAGTGTTAAAAGAATACACTACAATTCTCTTTAACACGTTTTTAATCTTGAGCTAAAAAAAATTATGTTCAGATGTTGAAATTACTGGGGAACACATTTGCGTAAATTGCAAGTTAAAGAGAAGTCTTTGCTCAGATTACAATAATTTATTGTCTTTCACATCTTTATATCTTGTGTCCACACTTAATGATTAGAAACTGGATTAAATGTGTTTGTTTTAATGAAATAAAGATGTGTTTTCCGACATGCAACTCAAACAGGAAGCTCCTCACACTTAATACAACAGAAATATCTAGTTGGACTTTCCAACCTCATGACATTTGTGACAGAGAATGAATGCTTAAAGAAGTTACAACCGAAACACTGTTACATCCCTGTCATTCATCTTTTCAATTAATTTCTACCATACTTCAAATCCTGCATTTTTTTCTTTGTTCCATATGTTGTCTTATTTCTTTTCCCCTTTCAGTTGAATTATGGATCAAACATCCAGGAATGTGTCTGCCGTCAGCATGGGAAAAACAGTCTGTTATAACTTACTGACACTGTATGTGTGGACTCAATGACACAGTGACTGTGCACGTATGTGAGCCTGAATAATGGGGTGGCTCTAAGCCACTGTGTACTTATGGATCAAAAAGGTAGCTTTGCTCAGTGTGTTTAATTTGTTCCTGGTGCTGACTCTGCGGGACACATGATAACAAATCTGTAGACTGTTTTCACAAGATGTAGCTTGTGTTTTTTCAATTTCTGCCCATGAATGTGTCCATCTCCTGAAGTCTATATTTCTCAGAGACACTGACAACACTTTATAGAATCAGGAGACTGAGCCAGAATTTCTTATTGTAATATATAATGTTTAATAATGGATATAAAAATACTGATGGTTGATCTTTTTAATTGTTGGTAGTTAGATCATTTGAGGTCAGATAATTTGGTAGTTAGATGATGAGGTAAGATTAACGTTGTTATAAAAATGAAAATAATTGAATTTATGTACAGTGAGTCTATTTTGCCTTCATTTACATTAAAATAAAAAATGTGGATTGAAAACACAGAGGATCAGTTTATCTGTCAGCTGAACTCCAACCCTTTTTATTTTTTTCAGTCCTCACATCCCATCACATCTGTCATTTGTATGATTCATATTTTACCTGCTGTCATCACCCAAACTTGGTTTTCTGATCCATTTGGTTTATTAACAGTGTTTCTGTCCAAGTGTTTAATTCAAGCTTCAATTTTGCTTTTGACTTCAGTCAGTTGTTACAAACAGGATAAATAACAAAAATGCTGATTTAACTTTATCATTTGCACTAAATCTCACTTGTAAATCTGCTGTTGACCTTTGTCTTGTGCCGTTTATTAATCTATAGACTTGCTTGTTCATTAAAATGTTTTTTCTTTCCTTTCCATAGCTTCTTTAGTCTTCCATCTGCCTGCTCCTTAACCTCAGGAAGGAATTTGAATTAGAAGATTTTCTACCACAGCAAAATGATCACAGACTAACAATGAAGTGTATTATTTTCACAATGTGAAATAACAAGTTTTATAGAAATGCACTTAAAATCCCTGGAGGTGAGTCAGTCTGCAGTCTTCCCTGTCTACTAAACTCTCCTTGAAACTTTTAAGCAGCGCAGTAGCATGGTCTCCGCATGGCTCTTAACCTTCATTCCCATGATGATTCAAATGTCGTCATAGCCAAAATTTCCATTTTTGTACTAAATGTTCTACTTTCTCTCATCTGCCATGTTTTGCTTGTAGTTTTTGACTGATGACAGTTTACACTGTGAAGTATAAAGTATACTAAAAGGTGATGTAGAATTGCTGTTAAAGGTTGTACAGATTGAGCATTATATTATGATTTATATGCACTTTAAATCAATCATAGTACAAATATATTTACTCATTATAAAAGATACATTATCGTGTTTACATGTCAAACCCTTATTTTATGTCTAAAAGATATAGCTGGGAGTATTTCTTAGTTTTAAACGTGTATGTAATGCTGTTACATTAAAAAGCCTAGATGTAGACAAATTCAGGATTAAACCTCTGTCAGTAAATCTGTATGGTGGGTGTGAGTGGGCCCACTACAAGATTTGTATATCCTTGGTTAATAAAGAGTTACTTTATTGAAAATGTGTGTTGTTCTCTCTTTAACTGCTCTCACAGACAGAGAAGAAAACATGTTGTTGTAACCTGTCGTCTCAGCACTTTCCAGATTGTTCCAGAAACCTGCCAGTGGGTGTCCCTTTAAAAAGAAGAGGCAGCTTTGTGTGTGAATGCCTGCTCAATATATACAGTCAGTGTATTTCATTTAGAAGAAATCCTAAAAAAAAACACTTGCTGTTTTTCTTCTGTGATGTGTTGTAAAGTACATCTTTTCATAGCCTTTATTTCATTGAACGCCAGAGTAAGAGCTCAGTAGTGTTTATATTGAATGTATTGTGTCACTTTATGGAAGTACCAGTAACTTTGCTTCATTAGTTTATCATCATTTCATTCCACACCTCATTAAAAATAGACTTTATATAAAAGAGATCATTAATCAACAAACATACACCCGCCTCCCTAACTGTGATTGGCCCTCCTGTTTGTGAAGGGCGGGCTTTAATCGGGAACGGCTGGAAATGTAGCCAATAGACATTCAGCTGGATCAGCGTCATCGGTGGTGTGGCCAATAAGAGCTCAGCGTGTCCGGACATGGGCACGGATTTATGGCAACGCTGTTACGTCGGCTTCCCTTTTCCCCGTCGCCTCACACCAAGGGTAGGGGGGTGTGCAGAGGCAGAAATCAACCTCGCTTAAAACTTTCTTTTCTCAAAGTTCATACCTACATTTTTGTGTGTTTTAAACTTATCTTCACTCGCTTGATTGAAGCGTGCGGAGGATTTTTTTCCCACTGTTGATTTTCCATAATATTGAAGGCAGCGTAACTCGAGACAAGGTAAGTTCTGTCTCCTTCTTCTCTTTCACGTTAACTAACATGTTTGACTCTTAAAGACATCGGACATGTCCGGGACCTCTCGTCCTGCTGCTGTGTGTTTGTCAGTAGCATGTAGCAAACTAGCTTCACTCTCCGATCGTTGAAAACTGATAGCCAGCGTTAGCAGCTGTAGCTAACAGCTACGTCCTTTACGTTAAAATTAGTTTGACCTTTTTCCGCCGCCTTCATTGAGTGTAACGTAAAACTGACACCGTCCCTGCAGTGTCGTGTGTTCGAGTCCCAGCCTCAGTTTCACAGTGTAACCCGTGTAAACTCACCGGGGTTTGTTGTCATGCGTTAGCTCCCCATTAGTGTGTGCGGCAGGGACATGTCCAGACATGACGCTTGTCACCCCGACACACTCACACGGCCTGAAGCCTAACGTTGTGACCCGGCGTCCTAAAGCTGAGAAACAAGACACGATCATCGGTTTTATTCCCTAAAGTGACCGAGATATGTTAGTACAGATAGTGAGTAACTTTGTTGTGTGTGTGTGTGTGTGTGTGTTTCCACAGCCTGTCTCGCCCAGTTCAATAGCAGCTGCTGTGCAAAGCCTTCAGGATTCTTATTACACTTACAACCTACATTCATTTCATATTCTGAATTTATTTCTATTCAAGTACAAGTGGATTAAGTAACACCTAGTATTTGATCCTAATGTTGTGTATAATATATCAATATAATTAAAGGTTAGATATTGGATTGGATTTAGTGATCTTGAAAGAACATTTCTGGTCTTGGATCACAGTCGCGTTTTGTATATGTGTATTTTTTTTTTCTTCTAGAGACCATATTCCCTAATAAACTCGCCATAAGACTATTAAGTGATTAATCAACTTAAAGTTTAATGTTTAGTTTATGTAGCTATGGGCATATATGATTGCCCAATATTACGTATTTTTATAGTCACACAATCAGCATGGCCACTTAACTAGCCCTGAGAAAAATGATAAAAACGTAGTAGAAATTACCAGAAGGGGACTCGTGTGGTGCATACCTCTGCCAAGGCCCAACAGTCCCCTTATGAAACCACATTTAAATGGACTGGATATGGATTGTTATCTGGATCTGCACCAAATTGCACACACTCATAAATCAGCCCCCTAAGCATGGCTGATTTAAAACAAATGTAAATCCATGAATTATTCCCAGAGAAATCAATGAACATATGAAAAAAGACAAGTAGTTTTTGCACAATCCTGCTAATTGTCTGGACAGACAATCAAACAAACCCAAATGGAAACTTAACGTCTTTGGTGGAGGTAATAATATTGATTGAATCATATATCTACTTTCAAGGTACAAATGGTGCCTTAGAAACGAGGATGAAAAATAAAACAAACAACAGGAAGACAGGAATTAACTAATCTAGTTGTATTTAGTCAGTATTAATCAGCTCTTCTATCTTTTCTGCACAGATGATTGATACAGTAACAGGACCTGGAGCACAACCCTTTGCAGTTCAGCTGAAGGCTCTAACAGATCTGGAGGGCCGATACCAACCAAAGCTGAGCGGCTTGAGGTTCATCGACTGCGCCCAGGACAACGGCCTCAGGATGACCACCAGACTCCGGGAGCTGGAGGTGAAGGACTTGCTCTCTCTGACCAGGTTCTTTGGTTTCAGCTCAGAGAGCTTCTCACTGGCTGTCAGCTTACTGGATCGATTCCTCTCAGTAATGAAGGTTTGTACACAGCAAAGATCATTTTTATCTTGTTGATTAGACTGAATTTGTTAAACAATTTCCTGTAATCTTATTTTCTCTTCTGTGCTCCACAGATTCAGCCAAAACACCTTTCCTGTGTGGGCCTGTGCTGCTTCTATATTGCTGTGAAATCCTCTGAAGAGGAAAAGAACGTGCCTCTGGCCAACGACCTGATCCGCATCAGTCAGAATCGCTTCACAGTGTCRGACATGATGAGGATGGAGAAGATCATCATGGAGAAGCTTTACTGGAAGGTGAAGGGCCCCACAGCGCTCCGCTTTCTCCGCCTCTTTCACAGCCACATCCAGGAGCAGCTCGACGCTGAGAGGTAAGGACGGATGGTCACATCAACCTGCAGGCCTGAACCATGACTCAACAAGATTATATTTACGCTACTAAAATGTGTCTTCTCATATTTGGCTTTGAAGAGAACACTAGCCAGAAATATTCAAAGGCTAACAGGCACAGTCCTACTTTAAATCATGAAGATTATTCAGATGTTATATATTAAAAAGTGTTGTTAAGTCTTATTGTCGTTTTTGAGTTCACTGAGGCAGACAGATATCTAATCTAGTGGCCTCTGCCTCATATCCATTTTATATATAATATGGAGTCTTGACACTAAAAGAGTTTTCCCTTTTCCAGCAAGAAGATCCTGAGTCTTGAGAGACTGGAAGCTCAGCTGAAAGCTTGTCACTGCTCATTCGTCTTCTCTAAAATGAAGGTAGACTAATATATCTGGTTTCTCCACATTTTAAGATGGCCTGTGTGCAGTTGAATTATGTTGTATTTACATTCAAGAAATAAGTTCTATCCAGCAGTTTCACTTTGCTAACAGTTTGACACAAACAGAACAGCTCAAACATAAAGTAGGTCATCCCTTACTGTTGTCGGATGGTGTCATGTTTTCTAGGCTGGATTTCTCAGACAAACCTGGTGACTGTTGAGTTTTTGGTTTTTAAGAATGTCTTCTCCCTTATCTGCAGCCATCTCTGCTTGCCATGGCTCTGCTGTGTTATGAGGCCCAGGAACAACATGACCCTGATCACACTGACAAAATATCAGAGGCCCTGAAAGGTCTGCAGCAGCAGCTAAGAGTAAGCACCCACTATTTTCATAATCATTCCTCTATGTGCTGCACAAAACTACTGAGAATTAATAATGATACAGCTCAGATGTGCTGCCATGACTGACTTCTTTTGTGTGTATTTCTTCTGTGCAGATCAAAGATGGGGACCTGGTTTGTGTTCGGGAGTTGGTCGGGAAATGTCTGTCTGACTACGCCACCACCAAGTGCTCCAGACCCAACAGCCAGAGACTTCGCTGGACCATCTCGGGTAGAACTGCCCGTCAGCTGAAGCATAGCTACTACAAGATCGCTCATCTTCCCACCATACCCGAGTCGGCTTGTTAAAACCTGGGGGTACAGATGGGTGACCTTACACGGGGAGAAAATATACAGCAAATTCTCTGTCTCCGATTGAATGTATCTTTGTGGTGTCTTGCTGTGAGGTCACCCAGGTACTACTCCTATTATTTTCCTTACAGATCTTCATTGCTGATGATGGATTTCTTTAAGGAAAAGTTATAAAAGGTTTTTCTCAAGTTTATCTTCCCCTAGAACGTGGAGTAATGCCCTGTCAGAAAGGTTATCCAATGCTGCAGGACATTAATCTGAAGTTTTACTTTCCAGATTTGAGTTTCTTGCACAAGTGTACAGTATGTTCTTGTTTTAATCCGTACCAAGATGTTTGGCGTTTCCTGGAACGGGTTGCTGGTTTTAAGCAAATAAGTATGGAACCACCTAGGTCCTCAGTCCACCATGTGGAAGAGGAGGGAGAAGGATTTTGTGAATAGCAAAAATGGAACCAAGAAATCGGGCCCAAAATCCTTAACTTCCACCCTAGGTCGCTAAACTGTCCTGAATGCACACTCCTACCCAAGGTGATTTTTTTGTTTTTTATGTTCACACAGCGAGGGGAACTCTGGTTTTCTCCAGTGAATTGAGGCTAGTGACAATCCTGTCACATATGGCTAAAAGTACAATTTGAGCCGAAGAAGAATGTCAGCAGAGGTTACAGATTAGTTGTTTTCACCGATTCTTAATTTGTGGACACAGACACATGTGTATTGATGATTTCAGTTGTCGATTATACAGAGAACACTAAAAAAAATTGGTTGTTGCAGTGGTAATGTGGATTGGAATTCGTATTGACTTTTCTTTGCCAGTTTCACTGTTTAGTATAAGATTCTTTTAGTGAGAAAAATAAAACGTGTTCTCAAATTCAAAATTGCTTATCGAATACAACATCTGGTTAACCAATGTCCTTGTACCTTTCAATAAAACTTTATTGAAAAGCTATTGCTGCATGAGTTTGTTTCATTATCGAAAGATTATCATTCTCAAAGGCTTTTTACAAACAGATCCAACATTTTCAATCAGCTGTTGTACCACATACACATTGCAACTTGCCAAAAAAACTCAGTTCTTTGCTGCGAAAGAGGCAGAAGAAAAATCTTTTTTTGTCTTGTTGACAGCTCGATGTGATAGTAGCAGCAGTAGAAGCAAAACGTCCGGCTTCTTGGACTTGACAGTCTGATGGATCCACTGTCATGGATGTCCTATAGTGTTCACTGAGTGTGAAATGTTTCTGACATCAAAGTGAGGGTCACTTCTGTAAATTGGAAAAGTCGGGACCACCGCCAGCAAAATTCCCAGAGATCTCTGCACCGCTGAAGTCGAATCCAGGATTCTGGCAAAAATGGATGATAAGTATTTAATTACCGGTAAGCCTGTTTCCACTCATCAGTACCAGCATACATTCATTCATTTTACAATGAAGGCTGAATAAGTAATTGAATCTGAGCATTTATTTCATATCTCATTTTCTC